GCGGCAGTAAAAATGTGACCCTAGCATTTAGATACACACGTGGGCGACTATAACTCAGAACAGTGGTTACTTTTAGGGAGAAGGAAGGGGCTGTGTTTGGAATGGGGCTCATGGAGGGCTGAGAGGGCTGATAAAGCTGTTGAAATTCTCTAAAGCCAAAAACTGAACAACACAAGGATGACAACAGTGAGAGCCGTCGTCACGGTGGTGTGTGTCTCACCTTGAAAATGTGTGCCTTCAGGATGTGGTGGCCGAGCTCCATGGTCTGCTGCCGGTTCAGCTTGCCCTCTTGTCGCGAGAACATGAACGCCAGGAGAGCATGCCCGTTCCTAGGCCCAGAAACACAGATTGTAACAAACACCCCGTCCCACCGCACCCTGGGCCCTCTGGTGAGAACATCGCTGCACAAACCCCGAAACCCTGCCACCTCTGCACCACCGCACAAAATGGTGGGAGGCTGTGCTCATCAAGTCGTTCTAGGGGCTTCCTCTGGATTCCCCATCTCTGGAGCGAGCCAGAGGGAAGCCCTGTGACAGGGCAGGGCTGTCTCTCTGGAACCACCCACTCCCTGTCCCCCATCCCTCATTCTGTCATCACCTTACTTATGTCTGTCACCAAATGTAAACTCCATGAAACTAAGGGTCTTGTTTACATCACAGGTACAGTCACCACCCGCAGGTACAGTTTCATACCTTCTGCCTTTCTTACCCTTTCTGGGAGCAAGGCCACTCCTGGTTTCTGAGGCTTCATACCTTGATATGGCACCTTCTCTTCCTCGACTCTGCCCACAAGACCAAGCCATGCCCATCTATCTCATGTCAACAAGGCCTGTCTCCACCCCCACTGCATCCTAAAGCCAAGTTCTACCCACTTCTGGCTGCCACAGGGGTCCCCATGCCCCGACCACCACACTCCTGTCCACGTTGATGATCTTCACAGGTTCTTCAGAGTTGGCTGTGAAAGACCACAATCCCCAGACACATCCTTTGTGTCAACCCTTCCCACTCCTCAGTTCCGTGACAAGAGCTCCAGTCAAACGCGATTTGTTCTTGCAGAACACAGCCTGCGTTTCTGATGTGTTGCCTTGCTCCCCTCCACACACCCCCAAGCAACAGCCTTGTTCCACCTACTAAAATGCTACACTACACGTTCACTCCTCAAGTCAATGACGTGGGGAAAAGTAGATGGGAGATGGCCCTAGATTAAAAGTCCTGTGCAACCCCAAAGAATCGAAGGACCCAGAAAATGATCACGAATGGCTCTGAGAGACATAAGATGTTAAATGTCTCCTTATGGAAGTACTTACTTTACTCACTACCACCTACTAAGCATCTTTGCAAAAAAAATTAAGTAGAATAAAATCTGATGAAGCCTGCAGATTTAACTACCAATTCATAGAAAATGAAGGTGAAAAAACACATTAAAAATGACCCTGAGAACACAATCAGCAAAATCCACATTATGGGAAACAGGACAAACTACCCAGTTGATCTTTTTAAAAACATAAAATGCAAAGAAAAAACAAAAAGGTGGGAATCTGTAGATTAAAAGAGACACAATGAAATGCCTCTTAGGGTCCTCATCTGGATTCTGACTCATACATACTGAAAAATATGAAGAAAGTGGGGAAATCTGAGCATAGCTAAATGTGTTGATACTGGTGGGTTAGTGTTAATATTTTAGGTGTTGTGGCTAAGTATGAAAATCTTTTTTTTTGAAGTTTATAGCCGACTATTTCAGGTAAAATACCATGAAGTCTATAATTTATTTCAACAAAAAATAACAGATGGAGAAAATATTGTAAAATGTGAGTCATGTTTAAGCCTAGGTGATGTGAATGAGGCTTTCAGTAACTTTACTCTTTAACTTGATAATTCTGTTCCTGGATTCAAACCTAAGGGATAATCAAAAACAGAAAGGAAAGGGCAGGGGGAGGCAGGGAGGTAGATGGGGAGTATGAAGGGGAGAAGCAGATGCTCTGAAGTACTTCCCTCTGGCCCTGGCCGGTTTGGCTCAGTGGATAGAGGGTCAGTCTGCGGATTGTAGGGTCTCAGGTTCGATTCAGGTCAAGGGCATGTACCTCAGTTGCAGGCTCTTCCCCGGCCAGGGCCCTGGTTGAGGCGCATGTAGGAGGCAACCAATTGATGTGTTTCTCTCACTTTGATATTTCTTTCTGTCTTTCACTCTCTCTTCCACTCTCTCTAAAACTCAATGGAAAAATATCCTTGGGTGAGGATTTAAAAAAAAAAAGTACTTCTCTCTGTAACAGCCACCGTTACACAAGAAGGTGATGGTGCTCTTACTTTTTACAGATGAGGAGACTCAGGCTTGGAGAATTAAAATAAAGTGTGCACAAGAATCACACAAGGTAATAATAAAACGGGCTTTTTGTAATCCCCTCCTGAGGACATGCTTAGAGAGAAACATCGATCGTTGCCTGCCATGCGTGCCCCAACCAGGGATTGAATCCATAACCCAGGATTCAATTGGGAATTGGACAAGCAACCTTTCAGTGCACAGGACGATGCTCAACCAACTGAGCCACTCTGGTTAGGCTGGAAACAGGATTTAATCTGGACCTCCCTCAAATGCTCCTGCTCTCCTGTAAAGCACCTAGAAATTCACAATAGATTTATGTGTTTATAACTCACCGCGAAACAATGTAAAAGCCCCACAACCAGGGTATCATTTGCCTCCTAGGAGGTTTGCACAGCCATGCAAAATGACACTAAGATAGTCAAGCAGCTTTATAAAATGTCCACAATATATTAAGCAAAGCAAGAAGAACGGGAATTTTATTACAGAAAAAATAATTCGGAGAATATTTAAAATGCTCGGAAAGGGGCAGAAGTGAAAAATGAAGTGCCATTGCCTCTGGGTGTTGGATTCTTTCTTCTCTGCAATTGGGGAATATTACAACTTACTGGGGTGGCAAGAGAAATGTTACCCATCCTTCAAGACCCAACTCAAACATTAACATGTATGTGGAACATTTTGCAGACATGGCCATCCCAGAGGGAGCTGCTCCTCTTTCCTGAGGCCCATGTGCAGTGTGGCTCCGCCCAGCACCGTCCCTGTCACCTCACCGGCCCTCCTGTGTGGGAAACCCTCCTGTGTTGGAAGCCCCCCTGTGTTGGAAGCCCCCCTGTGTGGGAAACCCTCCTGGGTGCGAAGCCCATGAGAACTGGACCCTCACCCCGGGAATTTCTGTATCTGCCACATGACCCTGCATGTTCCACAAAAACTTTTGCTGAACTAAGTCCAGTAGCTACCTTCCGACATGGTTCTATACACTGCCCATCTGCTGAGGGGAGTTGGAGAACTATAGGGGTCTTGGGGAAATGCTGACTGGCGCAATTCTGAGAGGTAACAATTCCTTTGCACCGTGTGCCTCTCTTGCTGTAGCCTAGTCCTGGCCCTGCCCCTGTAGGTCCCCATGCCTGCATACAGAAGCACATCAGTGCTCAGCAGTCCACGACCAAAGGTGACAACCCATCAGGCACCCTGCTCTCAGCTCTACCCTACGCTGCATGACCTGAACGCCACCTACCACCCAAAAGGGAGTGAAGCTTAACTGACTACAGTTCAAACCTCCATAACAAACCTACACCCACTGTTGTTTTTGTGTTTTTCTTAAATCCTCGTCCAAGGATATGTTTATTAATTTTAGAGAGAGCGTAAGGGGGAGAGGGAGACCAAGAGGGAGAGAGAAAGAGAAACATCAATATAAGAGAACATGGATTCATTGTGTCTCGTATGTGCCCTGACCGGGGATTGAACTCGAAACCTAGATATATGCCCTGACCAGAACTGCACCCACAACCTTTTGGTGTATGGGAGGTCGCTCCAACCAACTGACCCACCCAGGCCGGGCTCAATTTGTTTTTATGTCTCTATAGATTCAACAATAGCCTATCTTTTCCCAGTAAATGATCTGACTTCGCCAAGAAAATCCCTCACCTAAATATGTCATAACATACAATTTATCTAGTTATTATGGTTTGGCTCAAAAACCTGGGAGTTACAGTTTACTACCCCAAACCAGGTTCAAAAGGACAATTCTTAGCCCAGTGTCACCTAGGAAATAACACCATCACAACATGAAACAGCAGCCAGACCTATTGGTCAGCGTTGTCAACATTCGTGGGGAGGAAGGGGTTGTTTTGGACACAAGTCCTTACTCATTTCTGGACCCGTGTCTGGTCGAATGCCCTGTCTAGCCCAAAGGGGACAATTTAGCAGCTGGCCAGATGTGCTGCAGGAGTCAGGAGCAATTCTGACTCACAGAGAGCAGGAGCCCTTTAAGATAGCGATGATGTGGGCCAGGGCCGGGCAGAGGTGGTGGACATGAACACACCCTAAACGGAAAGTACCTGCACCTTCGAATTCCTGACCTCACACTGACCAGCGTCAGGCCCACAATAGCTCACCGCTGCCTCCTCGCCTGGGCAGGAAGAAGAACTGCATCTGGGCCCCACCCTGGGGCAAATCCTCAGTGGAACCTATAACTCAGTGATTGCAGCTGCCCAACCACCATCTCATAGGTGGGGCATCTGAGGCCTGAACCTCAATCCCCTTGACCACAAATCCCAGTGTGTCACCCCGAGCTAAACCACAAATGCAAATCAAAGTGGCCAGCTGTGGTCGCTGTGCTCCCCTCTGGGCCAGCAACCACATCCAATCCCTGGTGGATGGGGGAGGGTGTTGTGGGCCCAAGTCAGCGCACAACCCCCAGGGGAAGACAGTGACTGGGAACAGCTTCTCAGGAAGCCCACTGTTTCCTGGAGGTAATACCACGCTTTCCCACCACGGATGACTCCTGGGATGGGGGCGGGGTCTAGAAGAGAATGGATGGCAAAGAAATCACACCAAGGCATCGGCTGGCGTCTCTTTCACCCAAATGTACCCAGGAGCCCTGCCCTCCTAGCAATGCAAGGGAGGCGTCTGTGGGTTAGTAGCAGAGAGAATGTGTCAATGCCCCTCCTGAAGTTTCCATTCTGTGCTGCCTTTCCACTAAAAAAAAATTGTATTTGAAATTCCTTCCCCACGGGCCCATCAGACTCCCTGCCAAGAGCTGACGGAAAGCGTCCCGTCGTACCTGGGCTCACACAGGAAGGCCGTGTTCTCACCATCTGCTCTCCAGACAAGCCACTCCCTGAAGGACGGGTGGCAGAACATGCGGGTCTTGTCTCGCCTCTTGATGAGGAAGCAGGAGAGGGCCTCCATCCTCTGCTGGAAGTCCTCCCGGCCCTGCTCCCCCTGGATGTGGCCAGCGTTGATGGCCTGGAAGATCTGCTCGTCCGTCATGGGGTGGAGGGACGCGAGGGCTACGTTCAGAATGGGGAGCGCCCTCTCGAAGGCGGACTGGGTCATGAACTTCATGTTGCACTGCAGCAAGTAGAGCTCGGACAGGGACACGGGCACCACCTTGTAGCTGGCACTTTTGATGACCAGGTGTCCCCTCTGGAAGAGGTCCAAGGTGAGCTTGAGGTACAGGTAGGAGCCGAGGCTCCGCAGCACCAGGTGGCTGCTCACTTTCCCGATGAGGGCGGCGTCGGCCTTGCCATTCAGCGAGATGTTGCTGAGGATGTCCTGGCTGCTGTGGACCCTGTGCTGGACGTAGGCGTGCAGGTCGCTGTGAATGTCCTTGTTGTCGGGGAAGTCATCCAGGGAGAGCTTGACGAATGGCAGCCCATTGACAATTTCCTGGGGGGGGGGGGGGGGGGGTAAGGGGGGAGTTGGTTGTAAGAAAACCCAGTGTCACTGCACGAGATTTCTCTTTTTATGTCAGCCGCATTTCAAACCAGATTCACCAGTTTTCTTTCAAGGAGGATTTTCATGGATTACAGGGTCTCATTATTTTGTATTAAAACGTGTAATAGGATAAGTTGAAGATAAAAAGCTTATGTGAAAGAAATCCTGATGCGAGATGGAATCAGTAAAGGCTTTTCTGAGGCCCTGATCCGAAACCTCGGAGCCCAGCGGGAGGCAAGAGGCCCGGCGACAAGGCCACCTGGCCGGACCCACAAAGAAGCCGTGAGGCCCTGAGTGGACCTGACGCCCATCATCCCTACATTGTGTAACTGGTTACATAACAGGGACAAACACAGCCACCACTGTACTTCTAAGAAGCGGCCAGACCCCGAGATAAGAGGCATCCCTCTCTCTCCTGCAGATGCCAGGGCTGCGAGACTGAACCAGGAAACTCGAAACTGCCTCCCGGCCGTGCCCAGTGAAGCCTGTCCGCACGCAGGGGCCCTACCCTAGTACAGTCCCCGGTCGCTTTCTCAAGTTGCTAGTTTTTAGCAAACTTTTAAATGGAAGCAGTACATACAGAAGTGCACACATCATAATTGTCCAGTGTCACTAATTTTCACAAAGTCCAACACACCTGGTCCAGTAGCTCAGAGCACCAGTTCCCTGGCAGTCCCTGGTCCCCGACCATCTCTCCCAGCCCTGAGGTAAGCACATCCTGACCCTTCACAGCAGAGGTGAGTTTGGTGGGTTTTCTTTAACTTCCCACTATCGTTTCTGAAGTATGTAAGTGCATATCCTCAGGGAATGCAGTAATTCCAGGAGGCGGGAGGAGCAACATCGCGCCCATGTCACGTGCTCCCATGTCACGTGCTCCCATGTCACGTGCATGCTAACAGAACCTCTGGCAATGCACACAGCCAGTGCATGGAACACTGGACTCCTCTCCTGTGCCCGCCGATGGCCAGATTCTGCTGACAGTGTGGAGCATGACTGTAAAGGGTATGGACCTAATGCCCATGAACACTGAGGCCTAATGCCACTTTTGATGAGAAAAGGAAGAAACCAAATGCTATTTTAAAATAAATAGCATCACAAAAAGGCAAACATCTAATGTCTTTACTAAAATTGAATAAGATATAAGGAAGGAGTCAATGGTTGTTGAGATACAGTTGTAGGGTTCAAGTGAGGGAAAAGATGAGGAAGAGAATTCTAAAAAACCACTCTTCCCCTCCCTGCAAATGTTACCTCATGCTTACGTTTTTGGGGGTGGGGTGGGGAGGGGACAGACCTTCCCTCAGAATAGGTCTTAAAAATCCCCTTCCACATCCCTTTCTTTTTTTCTTCATACACACACACACACACACACACACACACCAAAGTCTCACTGCAGAGCAGGGCAAACCGCCACCAGGAGGAATAACTTTACCTCTGAGCTACTGGACCAGGTGTGTTTGACGGGTGAGACCTGTTTGCCAGACATCTCACACTGCTCCCCAAAGCAGTGGTGAACCAGGGCTAGGCCCTCCATGTACAAGGATAAGTGCAGCTCATTGTTAATGGAAAACCTACCTGACATCGTGATAAACATGCCTTGGGGGAGGGGGTAAAATGGTCAGAGTTGTGCCCACTTGGGGCTCTGTGACTAATCCTATATAATAAATAGGTAATATGCAAAATGACCATCACGCCCTCGCACAAGATGGCCACTCCCATGTGGTCAAAAGATGGCCACCACAAGATGGCCAGCAGGGGAGGACAGTTGGGGATGACCAGGCCAGCAGGGGAGGGCAGTTGGGGGTGATCGGGCTGGCAGGGGAGCAGTTAGGCGTCGATTAGGCTGGCAGGGGAGTGGTTAGGGGGTGATCAGGCCTTCAGGGGAGTGGTTAGGGGGTGATCAGGCTGGCAGGCAGAAGCAGTTAGGGGCAATCAGGCAGGCAGGCAGGCGAGCGGTTGGGAGCCAGCAGTCCCAGACTGTGAGAGAGATGTCCGACTGCCGGTTCAGGCCTGATCCCACAGGGCATGACTGGCAGTTGGACATTCCCTGAGGGATCCCAGATTTGAGAGGGTGCAGGCTGGGCTGAGGGACACTCCCCCCACCCCCCCGTGCACGAATTTCTTGCACCGGGCCTCTAGTATTTCATAAAGTCTTAATATAGTTTTCAGTTCAGCAGCTAAATGGTTTACAATAGTTCAAATTGTTAGCATTCATCACTTTAAAATTTGAGAATAAGGACTTGGAAAAAGAGTCGAAAATTATTTTTTCACCTGAAAATTTGCTCTTACAGTCACAATCAACTTCAACCAGGCAGGAAATTTAGAGATAATTTTGGCAATAAATGAAGAAAGCGTGTCTCCATAATCAGGTTTATGAAACTCAGCTTCATTTAAGCCATCGATCAAAATAATGTATTCTTCTTCAGGAATTTTCTGCTCTGAAAGATAAAATATTGTTTAATTAAGAAATTATACATTTCTATACGATGGCACCACCCAGTGTATTTTAATGCACCATTTAAAGTGTTAGGAGAAACTAAAAAGGTCTCCATATGGCAGAAGAAATGGTTTACACGGAAGCATATTTTCTATTAAACTTATAATGAAGACTGGAGCACCGAGCCAAAAAGAAAATCACTTCTCACAGAATAGTTTCCAGAAACATATTGCATTACACACACTTAGCAGAATTTCACCCGTGTATATGATACAGTTCGCTCTTCATAAACTGCTGTCTCTGGGTGAGCACAGTGAAGATGACACACACACAGAGGAAATCTGGAAAAGACCCTCAGGCCCCCTCCCCAACGAACAGGACACCCTCAGTGGATTTCTGGGAAAGGATTGACCCCCAAAGGGCGAAGCATCAGGCCAAGGCACACAGCTCGCTGGGTGGTGGTGGTGGGGGGGGGCTCTGCTTTATAGACTCCTAGAACGGAGCACACTCCTACAAACCTACATCTAGTTTCCCATTGATCAGCACCAACTTTCTGCCCAGGGAACTGAGGAAAAATGATGACACTGGCTTCAATTCCCTCTCTCCAGCACCTTTTGGAAGAAATGCTATGAAAGCAGGTAAATTAGCTCAAAAGATGAGGAGGAGGAAGGATGAAAAAATGAAGGGCCCGTAACAGCACTAATGCCCCTGACCTTGTAAAATATTCAAGGGCAACAAGGTCAGACTTCAAGAAATGCTTCAGGTTCAACTCACCTGAGCAGAGGAAGGCCCTGAACAAAACATGCTGGCAATCTCCCTAAACAATGACCTTATCCCCTGCTACTCCAGAGTGCAAACCAGGTAGGCAACAGTTCCTGGAGCGTCTACATGATCTACGGGTACAAATTAGCTGCTTTGGAAATGTGTCCATTGGGGAGTTACTTGTTAGAGATGCTTCATTTAAAATGATACCATTTGGAGAATATTATGCTAAGCAAAATAAGCCAGTAGAGGAAGACGAGTATCATGTCATCTCACTCAGATGTGGAATCTAATGAACAAAATAAATTGATGAACAAAAATAGATCTAGAGACACAGCAGCATAGAACAGACTGCAGCAGGCGGGGCTGAGGGTGGGTGGGAAGAGATCCACCAACAAACTTGCATGCATATATGCATAACCCATGGACACAGAATAGGGTGTTGAAGGCCTGGGGCGGGGGGTGGGGGCAGGCTAGAAGGGGTCAATGGGGAAAAAGGGGGGGCATATGTAATACCTTCAACAATAAAGATTTAAATAAAACTACACTGTTTGGGAGGGGCTTTGGGAAGATGGCTCTGAGGAAGGGGATGTAGATCCACCCACACCCTCTCCCTGTGCCACCTCACTCCCACCCCAGGACCACGCTAACCCCTCCTTCTGATGACAGCCTTGGGGACTCTGAGCCACTACTGCAGGGGCTCTGGGGAGGGCGGGCTGCTGGAGGTACCGTTTCTCAGGCTTGTGAGTGGCTCCAGCACTCCCCTCCTGAAGGCAGCCACGGGGTCCTGCACACAGGACCGGAGGCTCAGCATGCTCTGCAGCTGGGGCTCCCTGATCAGCAGGTCTCTGTAGGCGGCCAGCTGATGGGACCGGCAGAGCAGAGCCGCGATGCTGTGCACGAACTCGGGTACCAGGCACGTGTACGTGTTGTCCGCCTGGCAGTAGTGGTAGGCCACCACCTGGGGGGGGAAGACGCAGACCGTCAGCATCACCTCACATCCACACCACAAGTGACACCATGGAGAAGTTCAACAGGGACAAAACCAGAATCACCCAATTCCTGCCTATCCCGTGAAAGGGCAGAGGGGGGTTCCCGCCTGAGCACTAAGAGGAGGAGGAGTGGTCCCTTTCACTCTCACACATACACGGGGACAAAATCCTCTTGGCTGCCCATGCCAGCCATGCAGAAGTGAGGAGCAGGGATCTGGGGTAGAGAAGCACTCGTTTCAGCCCCTGGACCTACCTCCCGGCCCGCCCGGAGGGGTTTCCTCACTAGAAGCCCCTCATCACCGCCCACCCCGGCGGGTCTCCAGCTCCCTGCCTCACACCACTGCTGCTGGGGAGACCCACGCGGCTCACTAGGAGCAAGATGGAACAGATGGAACGCAGGAGGGTGGCTTATGAGCCCGTGATGGAAGCTGAGCAGATGGAAAATTTCAGAAGGATCTTGATGACCATGAATGTAGGAAGAAAAGGTCAGCCAAGTCTCTCTTACTACATCACAAGGAATCTCTGACAGAAAGACAGGAACAAGGGCCCCAGGCAACAGAGCGTAGGCAGAGGTGGCCCCGGTGGCTCGGGGGTTGCATTACAGGCTCCCAACCTCCTGCTCTCCTTTCAGCTATAAGGGTACATCTGTGGAAGTGCAGGAATACCGCCTGCTGATTGAGGAGTTTTCAGTCCATCATTTAAGGTGAATATAAGCCCACTGCCAATGTCTGAAGCTATTTATTTTCATTAATACCTTTCACTTGCAGTATTCCATCACAATTTTATGCTAAGCTGTACTTTTGTATTAAGCCACTGCTGTCTCCGTTTCAAGATCCCTTTTATAATTCATTTTTCAGAAGCCCAACTCTCTCTCTCTCTCTGGAAGTTCTTGTAGATCAGCAGCACATTACCTTGGATGCGAGATATTTTGCTGCATCCTCTCTCGGTCTCTGGTTTTCAGGAGTGTCAGAGCCCAACCCAGCAGGCGTTTTGGCCGTGGTGGTACCACCAGGAGAAGTACTCGGTGAAAGCAATGGAGTGAATGGAAGATCCGGGGAGGAATCTGAAGCTACAGAGAAGAGAGACCAATTCCGTCGTTTACAACATCAGATATTGAACTTATTTCTTGATTAGAGACAGAGAGCCTTCAATAGGTGATGAGTGAACAAAGGTGCACGTGAGAACACCTGTCCCCTCTCAGCCCTGTTTCCCATCCACCAGTTGTCCTCATTGGAGAACTGGTTTCTCATTTCTTTTATTACATTATTTTTGGTTTTTAAAAAAATATTGCTCACTGCTGGTGGGAATGCAAACTGGTGCAGCCACTGTAGAGAACAGTACGGAGTTTCCTCAAAAAACTAAAAATGGGCCCTGACCGGTTTGGCTCAGTGGATGGAGCATCAGCCTGTGTACTGAACGGTTCCGGGTTCGATTCCCGTCAAGGGCATGTACCTTGGTTGTGGGCACATCCCCAGTGGGGGGTGTGCAGGAGGCAGCTGATCAATGTTTCTCCCACATTGATGTTTCTGACTCTCTATCCCTCTCCCTTCCTCTCTGTAAGAGATCAGTGGGATGTATTTAAAACAACAAACAAACAAAAACCAAAACACTAAAAATAGAACTTCCATTTGACCCAGTGATCCTACTTCTAGGAATATATCCCAAGAAACCAGAAACACCAATCAGAAAGGATATATGCACCCCTATGCTCATAGCAGCACAATTTACAACAGCTAAGATTTGGAATCAGCCCAAGTGCCCATCAGCAGATGAATGGATTAAAAAACTTTGGCACATCTACACAATGGAATACTATGCTGCTGTAAAAAGGAAGGAAGGGGAAGATGTCAATGGGGGGAATAAAAGGAAACTCATGTAATACTTTAAACAATAAAGAATTTATGGGGGGATAAGGACACATTTGTAATATCTTATTCAATAAAGGGAAAAAATATAAAAAAATAAAAAAACAAAACAAAACAAAAAAATCTTGTATTGCTCACTTGGTTCCTGGTTCACTATGTTAGAGACATTTTCTTTTCATGTGTTTATTACACACAAAATAAGCCATAGTCATATCTTTGGCTACTCCATCCCATTTCTAAGTTGACTTTTACATTTTTTGTAAATCCAGCATGGAAGACAAAGGCTGCAGAGCACAGGGTACAAGAGAACTCTGCACAAACTCCTTCTGCCTTGTCCTGCCAGGAGCCTACCCACCTTGGTTTTAGGACTCAAAATTCCCCAGGCACTTGGTGGGGCCTCATTTCTGCTCATATAAAGAGGGAGACATGCTTTGCAGTTGGGAGGCATCAGGGAGGACCTGCCTCACTGCAGAGGTCACAGCAACACAAGCTCTGTGATAGACAGACGGACACCCAAACAGTCCAACAACACCATCGCAAACCTGATAGAATAGCTGGAAAAACTTGAGGAAAGTGGGAATTTATGTCTATCCCAGCAGCAACTTCCTCCATCTATCTGATGTTAATGTAATAAGCTAGACAAGTAGTTAAACACAGACATACTTTTAGGTGACGAGCCGGGGCTGTTGGAAGCAATCTGCCTCATGCGGCTTCCGTGGCAGCTCAGTGCCACCAACTTAGAAATGATGGCCGTCTTCCCAAAGCCCACGTTTCCCACCACCACCGCCCCTCTGTTCTCGGGCAGCTCCGTGTCCCGCAGGTTCTGCTCTATCTGCTGGAAGAGCCACTCCCTTCCCACAAACACAGAGTCCGTTGTTATGCTCGGTACTTCAAACAGCAGGGGCTTCAGCAAAATGTCTTGTGGCTTGTAGGGAGCAAATCGTGCTGAAAAAAAGAAGAAAGACCATTATTTCAGAAGAATGCCATCATTTTATACACTAAAAAAACACCTCACTTTATTATTGCATGTGTGTTACACTTAGTACATATAGCCTACAGTTTTACTTCAAAAGGGATCTGTGTTTCCAATCTGATCCTATGAATATTCCTGAAATACTTCCTTTATCATGCACCACTGTCACTACAGCGTATCCTATTAAAATGACTTTCTGGTCCTTTTATGTCTCTCAAGAATTCTCATGACTCAAAGCCGACACACAGAGAATTAGAGAAAGTGATTCGAAGGGCCACACCATGGCTCATCAGTTTAGGTCAAACTATATTTAAGGCACATTTCTCCCGATGCTGTGTGAGTAAAATGAAAATGCGTTTTCCCCAGAGATAGGGCCCCAGCTCTCACCTGGTGTCATGGTGCTTTGCCCCCTTTGGCCATGCTATTGACCACACACCTGTGCATTATGGGTAGATGTAGGAGGTGGCCAATACCACCCCATAAGTGAAACAAAGTTGATTCTTGGTTGATGACAAAAAAAAAGTTGAGGGAGTGAAACTGCCCCTCACTTCAAAATAACATGCTGCAGAATTATTTTTCAACTCCAGAAGGAAGTTCATCATATTTTAAAAAGTACAAAATTATTAAGGCTCCCTAGCACACCTTCCAGATAAACTTTTAACAGCGCCCCCCACCCCCCGCATGTTTAAAAACAGGTGGTTTAACTGCTGGATATCATGGATTTTCCATGTTTCATCGATGAGCTCCTACTCACAGGGACAGCGATGTAAGGATAAATACCTTTGACCTCCTGTGCCCTACCTCCGGCCGTGCTGTGCCACGGTAATCTAATGGACGTCCGAAGAGGAGCATTTCTCTGCCCGTCTAAATAGCTCAGATCTTCCAATTTGGTTGAGCTCGTCGCTGTAACATGAAATGGAAGTTTAGTCTCTTCAAAGTTAAGTTTCATATCATACCCAAGCTACTAGAATTATAAATTACTGGACAATTCCGCTCAGGCATTCAACAACATTTACTTCAAGGTGATTTTGATTTTGTTCACCCAACTCAATTTATTTTTCCAGTGATGTTTACCCAAAAAATGGTAAAAACAAAAACAAAGCAAAAAAACACACAAGTGCTCCTCATTCTTAAATGAAAGTCATGTTGATACAGTTGCTAAAAGCCTCCATGATTCCTGGAAAGTGACAAATTTCACCATGAAGTTTTATGAAGACATCTGACAATCAAGTATCACTCCGCAAAATTCCAGTCCTTGCTGCAAACACACAGCGCAGCCAGAGAACCTCCGCCGCTGCTAGAATTCCAGCCTCGTTAACCCAGCAGACTGCCCATATAATTCCAGTGCTCGCAACCCGAAAGTCAGCTCCTGGCAGTAAAAGTAGCCTTTCACATATTTCTAAGCTTCAAAAGTGTGTATACACACACACACACACACACACACACACACACAAATATATATATATTACATTACATAATACTAGAGGCCCAGAGCACAGATTTGTGCACCAGTGGGCTCCCTCAGCCTGGCCTGTGGGGATCAGCAGATCTCGGCGCCGCCGCAGCCCAGTCTTACCCGCCAGCTCGTTGGGCTCCGGCCCACTGTCCACCTCGATCCCACACAGCACAAAGTAGTGCGTGAAGTGGCAGGTGGCCAGGGAGGAGCCTGAGCCTGGGCTGGGCACCGTGCCGCTCCTGCTCATCCCGTCCCCGCTGCACGCCTACTGCTGCCGCTCACTCAGGCGTGCAGGGGGAGTGTCTGTGGGAGAGGCTCCGCCCCC